TACGATATTCTTGATTGATTAGTTGATGTTGGAGTTATTTCCTCATTAATCGAATGAAACTAAAATAGTCAAAAAAAGAAAAATTAAAAATAATACTACCACTATAGTTTTCTTTGTAAATTACATCTTCATTCTTTTGCTTTTTATCGTTCATAGTTGATATTTTAATTGAATTTTCTCAAATGATAATCTACAAAAGTTTTTCTATTGTAAAAAATGAAAATAATAAAAAACAAAAAGTTACAATATATAAATAGTTATTGCAAATTGTACCCATATATTTATCCTGAGAAAATAATTTATTTTCTAATGTTTTTATATTAATTTAAGATAATAAATTAACGATATAAAAATATTTTATTTTATATTTTTCATCCAATAGAAATTTTTCCAAATACTATTATTATTCTATCCTAGATTAACAATTCTTATCTGGAAACAACAACATAATAAGTAACATTTATTGTTCATGATATTTTATCTTATTAATTCTAAATATAAATCAAATTAAATCAAATTTTATAGGTCAAAATTCGTTGTATTTCTACTTTTAGTCTGGCATCAATCTGTAATTTTGCATTGATAAATTGATTTATTTAATTTATTTTAAACTAAAAAAGAACAAAAAATGTTAACACATTCTCTCGGATCATTTATTTCATTAGTTAAGTCAGACACGACATATGTTAATAATATAAAAGATTGATATTTTTTAAACTGAATAAGACATTTGATTTCAAGATAAATGAAAAACAAGTGTACGCATTAGATATTGTCTAAACCTTTTAAAATTGATCAAATTTAAATGAATGTATTTCTATATTAATTTACAATTAACAAGAAAATATTGTCTAGTTGAATTAGATGCATTTATCGATAATTTTCAAGGAGAAGATAATCAAATATAAAATTTTATACTATATGTCATTGTAAATATCACAGAATAATTCATTTTATGAGATTTAGTTTTAGAGATGAAATTAGAATCTTTAGTAGCTTTCAATAATGTATATCAATCATTTAACTAAAAACAAAATTGATATTGTTACCCATTTCAAAAATAAAGGCAAATGAATATTTCTTCAAACTTAATTAAACACATGAAATTTCTATTTCAGAAGTATATGAGTTATTTTTGATAGCATTCATTCATATTTCTTAGTAATGAATCGTATGAAAGAGGGAATAAAATATTTGCTTTTATTCTAATTTAAAACGATGAAAGTTAATTCTATCGGTATCGATTTTAAATAACGATAATTACTAAGATTTGAATATTTTTTATTTTTTGCTCTACAAATTGTCTATCGTGTTAAATCGAAGTAAAAACAAGTTTTGTTTGTTAATTAAATTAATAGAAGTATTTTGTATATGCTTTTGAAAAGAAAATGATCTTTGAAATAACAATTTCATTTACGCATATCATTGAGTATGCTCAGATAAAATATTATCGAAAAATTTGTCACCAGTATATTATTGAGTCAATATATTAGTAAAAAAAATGTACGTATGTTTTTGTTCAAAATTTGTTTTGAACAAAATGATGCCATATGTGAGTTATTATCTGCTATAAATAGAGAATATAGAAAAAATATTATGCACTCCTATGTAGACTGCGGAAACCAATATTTTTGACTAATATTGATTGTAATGAATGATAAAAAACATTGAAAATGAATATTTTCATAAGGAAATGCAAAGTATAATGAGAGAAAAAAAAATCTCTATTAAAACAAAGTAATTTCCCATACTTATTTCATATCGAATTTATACGAGTAAAATTAATATTTATTGTCATGATGATTAATTTTATATTTTTTTCTTAATGAAAAAGAAAAAGATTCTCAATAGAACTATTTTTTAGTATATTATTGAAATGAATTAATCAATAAACTAATACCGATGAATAAATGATCTTTGTTTAATGTTATTAAAAGGATGTTCTAGTTTTCAATAGAATCAAGAATGATCTTTCAATATAACTCTACAAGAATAATATCGACATGCCAGAATTAGTTACTCTATTATATTATTTAAAGATATTAAAAATGAAATTTTTTCGTGCACTTTCGATAAGTAATATGTAGAGAAAAAAATAATGGCAGAAAGCAATCGTGGACGTGCACCAGGTGACTATATTAGTTTATCACCAAATGCAGTTGCACATGTTGATGCATATTTCGAATATCGAGTATAAGAATTAAACGATGAATTCAGTTAATTATTGTTGGTGATGACGATGGAGGAAATTTATTTTTACCAGAAGAATATGAAGTATCTAAAAGACGAGTTTTACGAATGGTATGAATTTTTTGTTTTTATATTCAACTAGATATTATATTACGTGAAAAAAGAATAAATATTTTAATTCAATGTCAAAATAAAAATAATTTAAATATTTTAAGCGATTACACAATCGATTATATGTATCATGGGTAAATCCTCAATGCATGGATTGTATTATTATTGGATCACAACATAAATGTCTTTGTCGAAATAAGTGAACTGAATAAAAAAAGAAAACATTATTACTAATTATTTTTTTTAATTTTAATGAAGATTTTCTGAACATAAAATTGATTTTACTGAAATTCCAACTGAACGACCCATTCTTATTTCATGTCGTTGTGTATCATTTGAATATGTTGCAAATGCATCTGATAGGAGTGATCCTAATTGTCGTTGTAAACATTCACTTGATACTTATGGAACACGACCACTTTACACATGTCAGAAAAGTATTGTTAATCACTTAATGAAAAAAAGAAAATTTTAGTTTTTTGAATCGACATTTAGATTACAACTGTACTGGGTAGAACAATGTGGTCTTCTAACTGGATATGCAACACCATATAAAGCGATGGGTGGTTTAACAGGATTTAGTTCATTAGCTGAAGGATATTTGAGACTTGATCCGAGTGGATGAGGTAAGAAAGAAAAAGATATTTTATCATAATTTAAATATTTAATCTATAAATTGGTCGACCTGATGATGATTTTCTGAATCAAGCAATAACTGCTATGGATCATCCAATTCTTCGTGCACATGTATTTCTTGATCCTAATGGTAAATATGATTTTATTTTATTTCATAAACGATTTTATTGTTTTTATAAAAGGTACTGAAGCTCAATCACAATGACGTCGTCCTGGTGAATCAGCATTAGATTATTATGAACGTCGTCATCAAGAACGAGTAAACTACATATAAAATATTTTTTATTGTTATTTAATTCTTTCTTGTTTTAGCAACGTCTTTCACGTGGTATACGTGCAGCATCTAATCCTTATGATACGAATTCTCAGTTGACTACTGATATTCGAAATAATAAATCATCACCCCGTCGAATAACTGGTGGCAAAAAATAAGATATATTATTTTGGGAGGGAAAATTGAGTTGCTTTTATATATTATTTTTGGGTCTATAAAATATAAGATAAACAAGCCGGTGAAGAAAAACATTTCTCGTTGAGATTATTTGTTAATGATACTTGAAGTTCAGTTATTAACTAATTGAGAAACATAGTTTTGGTTCATGACTAAATACAAATCAGGTTTATTTATGAATTCAAAAACAAACAAACAATGTATCTGAATACCGGTCATTATGCAAAAGATAATATAATATTGTTGGAAAATATCAAATTCTAAATAAAAAACAAAAAAAGAAAAGGAAAGAAAAATATATGGATGACATGTTTATAACAATTCTATCTTATGACATGTCTGAAATAATGTTTTCAATTCATCGTTATTTGTGATACACTTAAATTTCGAGGCATATGCTAGCTCTCAGAATGTATTCACATGATTGATTATATTATTATCCTGAGGGTGTGAGTTTGGGTGTGGCTATGAATACTTTATTCGCGTAGTACCGACACTCATACCCACATTCTCACCCGACATCTTAAAATATACCCAAAACGACAGATTCATTAGCACAATATATTTTAATCGAAGCATTTGCTTTATGTCGAATTCATCTAAGAATACATGAGATACACAACAGATAGACTCAAATAGTAAAATAACAGGTTCGTGAATTTAATGATATGAAATCAAAGTGAGCGACATTGCATTGAGACTCAGATAGAATAACTCATGATTTTGGTTTTCAAATCGATTATATTTTTCGTAGCAGTTTTATATTCATTATTTTTTACATTAATCTCTACTACTTTAACTCAAAATTCCTCGGAGAAATATCTTACTTCAAGTAAATAAATAATGTAGAAAAAGAGTCAATAAGCATTTGAATAAATAATTCAATATCTTCGAATTATGCTGGATATCAGATAACAACTCATCTATTCAAAAAGAATTAATAACGTCAAATGCAAGACTGATCAGCATCTAACTATTTATAAATATCTTTACATATTATTACGAAAGTAAAAATAATTATTCAAAAATAAATAAATCAGTAAAAGAAATTTAAGACGAGCTCTAAGCAAATTACATTCTATATTCGCAAAAAGAACTAGTAGTATTAAATAAACAGAAATGTATATGATTAATCTTTTGAAATTTTAGATCGAAACAAAAAGTTGTTTTTCTTTAACTCTTTCAAAATCAAATTTTGAATAATAAATTTCTGTCGATATTTACAGATCAGTCAGATAGATTTGTAGCGAGTAAGATGAGTATTATTTATACAAAAGCTTTAGGAAAGCAAGAAAAATGAAATAATTCTTTTCTTGTTATAATACATAATTAAATTCTTATTTTACAATAAGATAAAATTCATATAAATTGAAAAATGATGGTAATACACCAGAACACTTTCTTAGCGATTGAAATTATTTTGCGGAACGAGAATAAAAATACAGTATGCATGCATAATGAGAAATTGATAAAGGCAGTACAGTTAGACTCGTATCATCTCCGTTATTGACATACATGTCGTTTGATATATTTTCTTTAATTTCATTTGTCATTGTCGTTATTTAATCTGTAAAATAACTCATATTTATCATGAGACAATTAAAAATTTCGGAGAAAAGTATTCTATTAATATTCATCAATATGCGTCATACATTTACATATATAGATCGTTCTTTTTTTCTCTGTCCAAAAATATCATTTGAATTCTCTTATCTTACTTATTACACAGTTAAAAAAGAAAATATACACCATTATTTTCTCTGTTTTTTAACTGTAACAGCGGGAAATGAATACGGTTCATGCACTATTATCGTGCTTTCTATCAGAATCGATTTTCCCAATTCATTAAAATTCTATAACGAAAAACAAAAAGATGATACACATATATATATTCCACTAGCTTTGAAAGGGTTAAGATATTATTTCAATGTTTTTACACATGACGGAAAGCGAAAGATTTATCAGATATCTTGAGGATATGTATGTTCGATGAATAAAATATTCACGCCCACATTCTTGTTTAGTCTGATAATATATCATTTAATTGATAGAGTATCACAAAATCATCTTGACACGTCTTACCAATAAGGTTCAAACTGTATATGGTTATAGATAAAGATGTGAATGCTTTGTTGATCTTACATCTGTATTTTCAAATACTCGGACTATCAAAATTTCAAAAGTTGATAATAATTAATGAGTTTTTAACCAATAAAATAATTTTAAACTTTTTAATGTTAGTGTTCAGTGAAAAGATATAGAATTTGCTAGAACACTCACGCATATTTAAGACACTGTAACCTAAAAAATATGATAAAAGTGTTTTAAATATTGATACTGTATTTTCTACAACAAAACATAATACAGATGTGTTTCCTAAAGGAATTACGCATTTCCTATCTGATTTTGCAGTTTAGTTCGATGAAAATCATGTTTCTTTTTATTCAGATAAATATACAACAATATTGATATTGTTACTTTTCATTTCCTTGTTTCATGATAATGATAAAATAAAAAAAAATTATCAGTTGCGCATTTAGTTTTGTCTGATCTTCTTTGAAACTATATATATATATATGAAAAAATATACTGAAATCTTTATCGTCTTTTTCTAGTTTCACAATTTTTACAATTGATCTACAAAACACTACTATTATAATAATAATTAGTTTTTATATTTCTAAAATTATTATGATGCATTGGCAATTCTTATATTTTTTTGTTACATTATTATCGATGACAATAATTAAATCGAATGCATCATTTCTGCATGATACAATTGATAATTCCAAAACAATCTTCGATTGTCTTTATGCTTATATAAATGATGATGGTGAATCATACGAACACGTTTCATTTCGAACAAATTCTCTAATACCTTATTGTCGACGTCCGTTATCAATCGATCCTACTAATAAAATACAAGGATATATAGAAAATACATACACATTTAAGAATTTACGTTCACAAGGAATTACGAGTGAAAATCTTCGTCAATGGTCAATATCAATTGATATTATTGAACTATATTCTATATACCTCATTAAAAATGATATCGAATTTGATGGATTTATTTTTAATAATTGTTCATCATTATGGTTTGGTTCGAATTGTCAATATACATTTCATTTGAATATGTTTATTGAATCATTTGGGGATTTCGTAGATTCTTCATTTAAAGCTCGTCGATACCATATAGGAAGAGAAATTGTACTACATACTTGTTATCCTCATTTATCTGGATGTAATCGTGGTCCTGAACCGATGTGTTTAGATTGGCGTGAAATATGTGATGGAAAAATTGATTGTATAGGAGATAACTTTGGTATCGATGAACAATATTGTGATGAACTTGAAATAAATGAATGTAAAGAAGATGAATATCGATGTCATAACGGAGCACAATGTATTCCACTTGAATTCTTTCGTGATAGTCGATTAAGCAAAGATTGCTTGGATGGAACAGATGAACCTGACCAATATCCTCGATCGTGGTCAGGTTTGTGGTCGCACGACTCTGATTGGTGCATCAGTTCAATGCGATTCACTTGTGAAGAGAAAACATGTCGTCAACCACAAGAATTTTCATGTGGCAATGGATTTTGCGTAAAATCTAACTTTGGTATTGATTATGTTAGTATGAATCAACATGCTTGTAGCGGTATACGTCGTACTAACTACTATATTCAAGCAATTTTTAAATCAGCCAAACAATATCCGGATGATTGTTATTTTTTATTATACTGTAAACTCGGTTTTTATGACATTCTCGAAAATGATACATACAATGAAGAAGATTGTTTACGTGCAGATTGGTCATCAATAAATTGTACATTAGAATATCTTTCATTTCCTCTTAAACCTATTTTACATGGTTATTTTCAACCTATGTATTCAACTAAAAGCTTGATCGAAAGTCATAATGATAATGGATGGCCAAAATATATCTGTACTGATCCACGATTATGTTTATATTTGCCAAAAACAACAAATCGTATCAATGGTTTAGATTGTCGTTTAAGTCCGAAAGTTTGGCACAACAGTGGGCCTTTGTCATATCGTTTGAAAGAAGATACTACAACTTGTGCATTAACGGGAAATATTAATCAATATAAATCAAAGTCATCTTTATTTTATTGTAAAAAATCTGATAAATATATATCGAAACATCGTCTCATTGATGGTATTCAGGATTGTTATTATGGTGAAGATGAAAGTTATAATGCTAGTTGTTCATTAAATGATACTCAGCGCTTTACTTGTACATCAGAAACAAAATGTTTATCACCTATAGTTATTGGCCATGATAAACCTGATTGCAAAAATAAAGAAGATATATACATTGAAAATCCTGATATATTTGTATATGCACGTCTTTGTAATCGTATAAATGATACACAGATACCACCAGAAGATAATGAAGACGATGAAACCAATTGTGAACTGTGGCCCTGTCATACTCCATACACTCGATGTGATAATGTTTTTCAATGTGCTAATGGTATCGATGAATTGAATTGTCCAAATGTTAATTGTAGTATTAATGAATTTATATGTGAAAATAATTATCCATATGATTATTATTATTGTATTCCTCAAGAATATATTTACGAAAAACCAGTCGATTGTATTAATCATGATTTTAATGATAATGGTTATCTAGATCGAAACATATTTTATTCGAATAATTTAACTTTTAATATTAATAAAGAATATATATCATGGAAAGAAAAGACTTGTTTAACAAAAAATGATATTTGTGGTAATTCATCGACTAATGATCAAAAATTAATATGTAATATTGGTGAAAACGATATTCGCATTAAGTATGACTTAACAATAAATTTGTATAATGGAACGTCATGTCGGATATTATCTGATTCTGTCGATTATTATAAGCGTTATTATTTTTCTACATGGAATTTGGGATATTTTCCACCAATAATAAATGAAACATCATTATCATCTCAACAGTTCATCAGTATTAACCCAAAAAAATCTCTCAAAATCAATACTAGTATTGAATCAATCGTATATTGTAATCGTGGAATTGTTATATTTGAAGGAAAATCTTATGAAAAGAAATGTTTATGTCCACCTAATTATTACGGTGATCGATGTCAATGGCAAAATCAACGGATTAGTTTAACACTTCAAATACGTCCAGTAGGTTCACATGAGAATAAACATTCTATTTATGACATATTTATTTATTTAATTGATGATGAAAATGAAATAATACATAATTATGAAAAAATAAATTACATTTCATCGCTAGATTGTAATACAAAATACAATCGTTATTTACTTTATCCTAATCAACCAAAAAATCCGAATCATACATATTCAATACGTATTGATATTTATGAAAAATCAACATTCTCATATTATTATGGAAGTTGGTATTTATCTATTCCATTTCCATTTCTACCAGTTAATCGTATATCAACACAACTTCGTATTCCATCAGAAAAATCTCAATCATTAACAAAATGTTCAATACAATGTGGAAACCATGGACAGTGTTTTAATTATATTAGTACAACAAAAGAATTTTGTCTTTGTGATCAAGGTTATTCAGGTCGTTATTGTAATATAACATATAACTGTTCATGTTCATCGGATTCAATTTGTTTAAATTCATCAATTTGTTTATGTTCATTAAATAAATTTGGTTCAAAATGTTATTTACAATATACATCTTGTCAATCGAATAATAATTCATGTCAAAATAATGGTCTATGTATGCCTTATAATAATCATATAAATCATGATGATTTTATTTGTTTATGCCCTGAAAATGTTACTGGGTCTTATTGTGAATATGAACTAAATAAAATTAATATTAATTTTAAAATCAATTCAGTTCCATTATCAATCATTGCTCATTATATTATTTCACATCATGATAGAAGACATGAAAAAATAACAAAGTTTAAAAAAATTCCATTTGATCAATATTCAATTGAATTATTTTCTC